TCTCCAACTCTTTTTTATTTTTGAACATCATACCCTTCAACAATTTAGGTCTTGTTGGATCCCATGTTTTAAATTCATGTAAATTGAAAATTCTGTCAACTTCATTCTAGGTGTCCGATTCAATGTTGTGAAGAATGTTGAATCGGGTTTGCGCATAGGAACCTCACCATCGTCATCGACAGAATTATCTACGTTATTGTCATCATCAGACTTATCAGTTAATAATTCTTTTGCCAATTCTTCTTGTTCGTATTACTCATTCCGGTCATTAGCACGCATTCCTTCAAATGTATTATTAGCAATCTGATGTATTACAAGTTCGTGGACAGGGTAAAATGGCACCAACCTCGAGCTAACTGCAATCATATCCATCCGCTTGTTATTCATGGTAACATTGTAGTGTTGCTGAAATGAACATTTGGGAAAACAATTGGGCCCTGTTTCTGACTGTGCATGTGTATATCGATTGTATTCTTCCATACACTGCATTGTTACAGGGGTGTAATAATCATCCACCATTGGGATATATGGTTGTTGGCTGAGTAGGGAAAAGTATGCTACACCATCAGGCCAACCTTCCTGACTTCCACCAATGTCATCAGACCTATCCTTTTCCCTCACATACAAATCCACTATGTTGACATCTTGATTGTCAAATACAACATCCAACATTGCCTCCACACCATCGTTGTCAACAACTTCTAATTTCAAATATGTAAAGAGGTTAGTTGGCAATGCAGTAAGGAATCCACATATGAGCTTAAGGTTGTATTTATTCTTATCTATCCCTATCACATCATGTAACCTATTCACCAAAGCCGAGTAACTTGTGTAAAGAGCTACCTTTATCACACGCTTTTAAACATTATCGTACCTTAAACCATCATCGTTCTTAATAATCTTACCACCCCAATAAACTATCATGGATGCACATCTTTTAGCCATCCGTAACAATTCTACAATAAAGACATCAAAAGTAATATTAGATGTCGTTTACAAAATTATATGTACTTGAAAAATCGATTAGTCCACAAATGAGATTTTTGCCAATGCAAGGTTGAGTGGGAGTATAATGTAGGCAATTTTACTGTGTTGGGGAGTTTGTTTTCATGGCTTGAAGTAGTGATTACTTGGTTGTTTCAGTGTGAATAGAAAAGTACATGACTAGCTGTAACGCCCTGATTTCCTGAACTCGTTACTTGATTAAATCAATCGATCACAATAAACCATAAACAAATCTCCAAATACAGGGCCAAAACTCTAATTGCCTCAATAAATTTATAATCATAATTTTGATCCCCAAATAACAAAAAAATAATCTTCTCAATATAAAAACAAATCTGTTCAAATTATATATCACCCCAATAAACCCAAAAAAAATTATAAATCTAAAACTTGTTCATATCTCCACTTTGGTCCTTTCCTCAGGAGTCATATATCACCACAATAAATCCACAAAGTTAAAAATTATATCAAGATTTGTCCATTTTCGATTTCTCAAATATCAACTCTGGTCCTTCCCTCCGAGATAATCCTAAAAATATTAAAGGCGGTGAAATATACAATATGACATGAAACAATATGCTCAATGAAAAAATAAATACGAACGATCCAGTACCAAATAATTCAATCGATAGACAATTATTGATAAAAGAATCAAGAATCCAATTCGATAAGTCACATAGCTCAATTTCTATCAAACATAACCTCATACTCGGATCCTCTCAGTGACATGACAAGTTACACTTGGGTATTTAAAATTCATACTCATATCGAATCATTACACTCCTCAGGGTTGTAACCACAATCGCACCCCCTCAGGGTCATAGTCACCTTTTACCAATTATACCCTAAGTTCACTTCGTACATGTATCAATCAATCCCAAAATATTTAATCCAACGAACAAGTCAACTGATAACATTGACAGAATTTCGTATCAATCAGAATAATCAATAGGAATACAAATTTCAGATAATGAAATGACATTCTTGTCAAAGAAATTTAAAAGACAGAAGCATATTGTATACTACCCCGTACCTTAAAATTATTAATAATTTCAATAGAAAAGAAATTCGAAGTATCCCGAATAAGACACTTCAATTTGATAAGGATCAAAAGTAAAATTCACTATTTGATTTTTGACCCCAAAATCTCATAAATTTCTCACTTTCTTCATCTCTCTCTCTCTCTATCTTTCTCTCTTTCTCTTCCTTCCTCTCTCTCTCTCTCTTTCTTCCTTGCTCTGCGTTTTGCTTATTGGTAGCCCCTTATTTATAGGGTACAAATGCTTAGCCTCCAAGGAAGCCATTGGACAAATGTCCATTCTTTTACCATTTTTTTTTATTTCTTTTCTTTTCTTTTCTTAGTGCACGTTTTCAAATTTTGCAAATCTAGAATAGAACATTTTGTCCTTTCACATAAATATATATGTATAGATATGAATATTTTCATTTATTATATGATTACGATATTTGACCTAAGTTATAGTCATTTGACTCGTTTTCACGTGAAAAGTCTATATTTGAGATCCATTTATTTATAAAAAAATAAATGTCAATTATATAGAATCATAATTAATGACCTAATTAGTGTGTCAGTGATTATTTGCTTATACAGGTCGTCACACTAGCTAATTGCAATTAACCATTGCAGATGTCATAATGCTAATGATGAGGTTGTATGACTGTGTTAGGTGAGCAACAATTGCTTTGTCACATCGTAATATGCATATACACATTTTACGAGTAGTGATGCATTTAGCTTAGTCTCAGCCAAAAAGGGAAAGACGATATAGTGTAATTACTAAGACTCAACCTTAGGTCGTGCTTGACAGCTTGAAGATACAAAAATTCTTAATTACTCGGACAAACTCACCTTGTTATGAATTACATGTGTAATATGCAATTATGAAGATCAATCTTTTGTATTATTATGTACAAAGGACAGACCTTCTTGACACCTTTAATGAAGTTGCCCACCTCTAGTATCTTAAATGCAGAGCGTTGGGGGATCAGGTGACTATTACAATGTTGTTTAAAAGACGGAAGTGGAGTTATTATTTAAAATGATTAACAGTATTAAAGTCAAAAAAGGAAAATCCGGACAAAAAATAGTAACAAGTGTGATGCATACCATCTTCTTGTTGACCTATCGACTTGTCTGAAAAATGTAACTTGTTATTTGCCCAAAAAAGAAGAAAATTAAGTTGTTTGAGAGGGTTTAATAAACATTTATGTACTGAAGCACATTTCCTCACAAGAGTGCTAGATTTTGGTTCAAGTATGTGCAAGAGTTTCAATTATTAGGGTAAATTTGAGATTCAAAAGCATAATCTCCTACTTCAATGTAAACTAATCTAAAAACGTAAACTGTTACAATGAGTGTAACTTTAAATATTTCCACACTTCACCACTTTTGAGTGTTTAATCCATACTAACATCTTTATTACATGCGAGTAGATGTGATAAATTGCTTATCCTATGCAATACAAACCAGGAGAATTATTTATGTATGGACTACTAGTCCAGTGTTGGTGGTCCAAGGTATCACTGCACGTCCAACAAAATTTATTAGTTATAATACTTCTGCAGAAGTATAAATAAACTAACAGCATTAGAAGGGTGCACCACATAAATATCTACAAACATGTGTCTATTTGAGGGACCAAACACCATCAACCATCTAATTTTTTTCTTTCTTTTTTGAGATGAAATTTAAGCCCGTAACCACCTAGGGCGGGAGCGAGCCCTTACTACTGTGTCACTCCCTCACCTATATCAATCATCTATTTAAGCTTTTCCAAGTGATTATATCTCTCTAATATCTGTACAGAAAAAATGCTTCAAAGGCATTTGCAGAGGAGACAGTACCCAAACTTCATTGCCTAGTTCATTAACCACAAAGCCTACACCCTATATCCTCAAATCAGGCAACCAAAACAGATTGAAGAGCACCATCATACCCAAGTCAAAAACACTACATCAACACATGATTGCATTACCATAGTTAAAAAACAACTATTTTAGATGAAGGTCGATGATAAAGACCGATTACAGGAACACAAAATGCTATTCAAACATTTTGACAACAAATATTTTAGTCAATTCAATCTCGACCTAGGCACACAATTTTACAATTAGATATATAGGAATTAATCACACATTAAAAGGGGTTTCTGCAACTCACGTGGCGAGTAGAAACATCACAAAGCAGAAAAGATATATATATCGATGGTATTGGGGGCGAAATACATGGTGAAACTTACAGATTTGAGTAAGATTGTTCATACAAAAGAAGCTAATGAAGGCAATGAAGAGAATATGTGTTGCCGGAGTTATAAGCTGCTTTGCCGGAGTGGTCTTCTTCGTCAGAGAGGTCTTCATCGTCGGAAAAGATTGTGGGTGAATGGTTGGAGGAGAGGAGAGAGGGATTGAGAGAGGATGGGATGTTTTTAAAAAAAATTAACAGGGTCTAATGTGATTTGGGAAAGTAAATTTTGATTTTATTCACATAAATCGTCATTTAGAATAGCACATTTAAAGACGTCATTTCGAACGATGTTCGTAAGTTTAACACAATTGCCAAACCGTTTAAAATATTAATTTAAACACATCATTATAATTGACGTTTTTAAAGGCGTCACTTAAATTGATGTTTTATTCTCAAATTATTACAATCTTTGTTCAGTTTTTTCAAGGTTAAAAACGTTATTTTAAATGATGTTTTAAACCATAAAAGCGTCATTTAAAATAACGTTTTCAAAAAAAGATTACGTTTGAACAATAAAGTTTAAAACTGACTAAGTTTGGGAATAAGGTTCGGGTGAGAGCTGGCTTTGGTCAGAAAAAACTCTATGCACAACCAATTAAAAACTGTTGTCAGACACACAATCTTTTTTTTTTTCAAAAAACTTCTGACAAGTGATGAATGACAAAACTCCTTAAAAATGTACAATTTTTTATTAACTATGTATTGTACACCATCTAGCACTGTCAGTTAAAATTTGAGAGAGAGAGAGAGAGATTCCATCAAAGAAACTTCCATTTAGTTATAGTATATGATAGGTTGATGCGCTATCAAAGGCCCAACTCATTCCAATTTTGCCAAGAAAACAAGCAAACTTGGCGGTTGACGGTTATTTTCCCTTCATCATCATTAGTTCATCAGGTAAGAGAAGCCCGGCCTTGCCAATTACGTCCTCTTAACGAACCGACCTTTCATTCTAGGCCTCTTCTCTGCATTCAGCTTCCTAACTTCATACCTTATCTTCTTTGAGAACAGTCTGGTCCTTCTCTTCTCTTTGTACCTTGATACTCTTGCTTCTCTCCCTCCATCATCCCCTCCCATTCGTCCCCCAATGCCTCCGTAATGATGATGAACACCCGAAGAACACGATCCCTGATAAATTTATCACATAATGTACAATTGCATGTCAATTTTATTTGACAAACACAAGAAGGCACTGAAAGAGATAGTAAAAGTGGAGCAAGAAGAATGGAAGGTTCGAAAGATTTAATGATTATCCGCCAACCAAGCCAATGCACCATTTCTATCCCTTCTTGTAATATACAACATTTTGTTTGATTCTTGGTATAAATAACATAATTATCCATTAAACATAGACGGTGCAAGTTTAAAAAAGGTAAGGGTGGGTATTTGATTACAGATGATGAGCATATCAATTCAAGCATCCAAAACAGAAGCCCATATACTACATAGCTGTACATGCAATATTACTCACTAAAAGTGTTGATGTAGTTTTCATAGTTGAAGGTTATGGCATCGGTCATGGACTCGAATAACACAGAGATGCAACAATTGTGGCATCACAAATGATATTGAACAATACACATACATAAAAATGACACAGAAGACAAACTTTAATATTACAAAGATTAAGAGTTAAGCCCATATTGCACAAGGATATCATTCGGTTCAAGGACGATAGCTCGGAGTTGACCTGAAGATGCCACGCTAGGCTGAGTGAGACTAGTGGTTTAATTAAATAGAAGATGAACTAGTGTTGGATTAGAAGGTGCCAAGTTGATTACCAGTTAAATGAATTACTTGGTATCGCCTCAATTATTCATTATGCCCTAATATTTTGAACCATGCAAATTTTGTCACCGGGGAGAGAGAGAGAGAGAAAGAGTACCATAAAATCAGCCCAGCAGTCATCAGGATGAAACTCTGAACGGATTCCTGCAGCCCACGGGGTACCTTGGTTGGCCCAAGCAGTGATGACTTCGTCATAGTTAAGCCTCAACAACATTTCCCTCCTCACTTCTGCTTTTCCTTCGCCGCCAATCACCACCGTCTCTGCCGAGACCACCACCTTCTCCTCCGGTTTCTCCTCGTTCGCCACCGCCGATTCAAACTCAAAGCTCCAATCCAAACCCTCTCTTTCCATGTCCAACGCCGGAACCAAATTACAGGCCATAACAGCTTCTGCTTCTCCATCTTCAACCTTCACTCTTTTCTCCTCGAAACAAAAATCTATACCCTCCTCTTCTTTACAATCCATTAGTCCAATCCCTTCCATACAACATGAATCTCCATCAAAACCCGTCCCGAGTAAGCTCTCAACATCAGCAGCAAACTCCGCATCAGAGGGAAGAAATCCCAAATCATATGCTTCATCGTGTGGAGTATCGGTCAAAAAATCGTTCAATTCTCTCACTGTTTCAGCTTTTTCGTCACTATTATCCATTTCATTCGATCCATTGCACAGCTCAGCAGCAAAAGGATCGAAAACTGGAACAAGATAAAGAAGTTGTTCTTCATTCCTATCCTGGTAAGTCTCATCACTTCCAAGTTCTGGGACAAGAAGAAGAGGGTTTGTAATCTTTTCCTCGTTCTTAGGCTTTCGTGGAGTTCGAGGTTTACGGGTGAACCCTTGAAGCCATGGCGGAACAGAATTATGGGAAATTCTAGATTCTTCGGCCTTAAAAGACGAAGTCTCGAGTCGAACCCTTTCGTGGCGACTTGCTAACTGGTTTGCGGAGTGAACCGATGCATCGCAGACCTGACAAAGGAAAGCATCATCGGCAGGACAAAACCATCTTGCCCTCTTGCGCAAACAACTGTCACAGGCTCTTGCCGTCTTGCCTCCGACGGCGTTTGCAGCTTTGCTCTCTGTGATCATGGTAGACGGATTGATGTAAAAGTCGATTCTGGGCGTCAAAATCAGAGGGAGAACATCAAACAAGGCTACAGTGAAGCGCAACTGGGATTATGAGACTCACTCATGTATATATCTAGGCAGGGGTGTCAATTTTGGACAAGTAGACCCCAAATGGATACTTGATTTTATTTGCCGACTTAATTGCTGTCCATCGTTAGATTGAGAGTGAATTACAGTACTAGTTAGGTTTTATTATAAATTCAATAATTATGATGTATTAGATCAATAAATAATATTAATAAATTATGTCTAAATAATATTTTTTAATGAAAATACCACGTATAGCATTTGGATAAATTGCACTTTGACCTCTTTAATTATGAATTTTTTTTACATGGTTTCTTCAATTATCATGTTTTAGACATTTCATCTTCAATTATACTATGAGTTTCACGTTGTTCAAATTATTATCGCTTGTTACACCATCTCCAGTCTTTACTCTTTTTTAAACTCAAATTTAAATTTGGGTAAAAAATCCTTACAAACCTTTACCCAAACCATCAATAATTAGATATCATTCTCCTTTAAATATATAATAGTCATATTTTATTTTTATTCTCTTATAAATTTGAATTTGTCATCATATAAATTTGAGTTTATTTTCTTTTAACTTATAATTTTTTCATTAGAGTACTTTATATCAAATCAAGTTTTTTATTTAATTGTAAAAATTTGAGTCAAAGATAGAAATATTCTTACAAATTAGATAATAAGTTGTTTCAATATGACCACTAAACTATGTTTTTTGATTCATTTTGCTTCAAACACGCTAAGTATTTTTGTCTAAAAGATAACAGACGTTATTGTTTGGGGCGATGTAAAATTAATTTAAGTAGTTGAAATGACAATATAAAAAATTCAATAGATTTGAGGAGAAAATTGAAATTGAGTCCATAATTAGGGGTCAAAGTACAATTTGTCCTTAACATATTAAGAAATGAGTCGAGTTACTAACAAACATTGGATTTACAAGTACGGTGAAAAGAAATGTTTGACTCTTTTTCATAGGTTAATTTGAAGAAAATACAGCTTAAGGTCTAATCTTTTATAGCCGTTAAATTGAAGATAGACTATTTTTAACATTAAAATTCATAATTAATACAAAATTTTCACATTTAAAAAGAATGGTGCCGCTTTAAACAAGTCGCATAGGTTCTTCTAAAGAACCATTTTTTGTTTTGTAAAACCAAAATTCTCATTGACTCGATGTTTAATTGAAGTATAACAATATGATATGACCCCATACAACAGAACCCTCAATGCATAGAAGGACTTCTTCTACCCTAATTGTTATGGTGTGTCTGACCCACATTTACCGCTTTTAGTTTTTGCGCAGGTTGCTCGATCCTTTGGTCCATGCACTTTTGATGGTTTCATATTCATATGGGGAAAGATTGAGGCCTTTGGGACCTTTTGCTTAGTCTTATCTGGGACTGTTAGTTGAATGAGATCGAACCGAGTTCAAGCTAAGTTGAAAAACTTGTTTCTCAATTGAGTCTAAAAAATTATTCAAGTTTGGCTCGTTTAATAAACGAGCCGAGCTTGAACAAGCCCAAAACAAATCAAGCCCGAGCCGAGTTCGATTATTTACTCATAAACGAGTTAAACCTGTTGAACTTGAGCCAATCTTTTAAGACTTGTTTTGTAAATGAGTTTAAAAATTTGTTCGAATTCGAACTCGTTTAAAGAATAAGCTGAACTTGAACGAGCCCGAATTCGAACCAAAGCCAAGGAATTCGGTTTGGGTACCAGCCTTAGTCTTATCTCGTTGTTCATTGGATGAACTTCTGAAGTTCATCTTACTCTCTGCCTTGTTATTGGTTTTCTGTCACCATTAGCGGATTTCGTGTGGTCCCAAGGGGAGGGTGGGCTTGCATGGGCCCCTCACCCAGCTCTCTGTACAATCTTGAGTATGACCCTCTTGTATTGTTTCTTCATGGGTTGCAATTATTCCTGTTACAACTTTAAAACCTCCGGTTTGTGGTCCTATGAGGTTTCTTTCAAAACCCATCTCTCTCTCTCTCACATGGAGCAACTCTATGCGATGGCCCCCTCAAATTTTAACCTTTTTAGTACATACATTCTAAATTGGTCCTCTTAAGTTTTTGAAATTATACTTTAATCCTAAATTTATGTGTTGATTTCATTTTACATGGTATCTCAAGTTTTCAAAATTGTAACTTATATCCTTAAATTATGATCTTGTTTATACTTTACCTCTCATATTTAAACAAATTGCACCAGTAATCATTTGAAATAGTTCCAATGGTATCAAAAATTCAACAATTGTGCAAAACCAAACTTTGATTGTTAAAGGGGGAAATGTGTTCAAATCATTATTCAAGTTGGTACAATGACATTTTGGGTCATAGTTTGAGGAGAACAAAGTGTAATTTATCAAAATTCTATATCTATAGGGTCCTCATCGTATTTATAAATTTTCATTTTTCATAGAGACTAAATGAAATTTATGTAAGCAAATTGAGTTGTAATAAATGATGAGCTCAAATCCAACCGGGTCAGGCCCAATAAACCAAGTAAGCTCAAGTCAGGTCAAGCCCAGTTCATCAATCCGATCCAGTCCAAGATCCAAGGAATTTATGAAGAAAAGAGCACACAGGGAGAGATTATCGGGATACTCACTCTCGAAGATCAAGACTATCATAATTGTACTTACCTTTTGTAACTATCCTCCCCGAAGAATTAGTGCCCTCACACTCACGTCACCTCTTCACCATACTTATAAATTGTAAGTCTTCTCCACATGAGAGGACACATCTTGGTATCTCACTACACATTGAGTTTTCCCTCTACACCCCTCTACACACACTTTATCTCTCCTGGCTATTGTATCTCTCCCGGAGACCTTGCTTGATCAATAAACCCTAATCGTAGAGCTAACAAAGGATCCTGCCTGTAGCTTGTGTCTTTGTTAGTTGGCTTAATAGCTTGCTTGGACCTCTCAGTAGAATTCGAACCCAAATGAAGTTCTGGCCATCTGTCAGAGACAAAAGAACGAACGGATCTTGTAGGATTCCTAAGAAATTCTTGGATTTCTTCCGGAAACAGATGATTAATCATCTGTATCTCACATTCCGTGAATAGTCGGGACATTGAGGAATATCCAGAAAGGTATTTCGAGAATCGGTCTGATCACTCGAACTGGACCACTATATATTTGTGTATTGATTTAATATTTACATTACTGTCATTGGATGTTTTATTAATTGTCTCATTAATTACACCTTGTCACACACTCGACTGTTGATTTTGCATGAGATAATTTTGTGCATCATCAGTTTGGCGTCGTCTGTGGAAAACGATTAAGTTTTCTACTACCTTGCTACTCTCTTGAAATCCATGGAAATTATGATCATGTCGATGAGTCAAAAATCAGAAGACAACAACCCGACCCTCCAGGAGGAGGCCCCGCCTCCTCTTGCACCCTCTGAACCATCAACTATGACGACTTTCGTGGTCGTGCAACAGCTTTTACAAACAATTCAGTTGCTGATAAACCAAAACCAACAAATCATTGAGTTGATGCTCGCCCAGGGAGGTGTCGCTCCTCAACCTGTAGGAGGAACACCATTCCCTCCAACAGGACAAGCACAACAACTTCTCCACTATGGGTGCCAAATCGCCCCCCACCGTGGAGCCTAGAGCCAAAATGCCCTCGGACAGCGCCCAGGTGCCCCTCGCCCAGGAGTCACTCCTCAGCGCGCAAGAAGTTCACATGTTCCCCCTCCTCATGTTCCTGCGCAAGAGGACGAGGGAGAAAACTAGTATGCCAATCATGAAAGCCATAACAACAACCCGACGGATGATGTCTCAAACCAATGGGACGAGAAGATCAGTGAGGTGTAAAACCAACTCGGTGATACCCTCAACACCATCAAGGCACAGGCGCCCGAGATGGTGGACTACTTGGTAAAACGCACTGATACCCCGTTCGTTACAGATGTTGTCAACTACCCCTTACCCTCAAAGTTCAAGATGCCTATATCGAGATCTTTGACTGTACCAAAGACCATCTGGATCATCTTGACACATATAAGTCTCTCATGTAACTTCACAACGTACCTGATGAAATCATGTATAGAGCTTTCCTCACCATCCTAAAGGGGCCTGCTCGACAATGGTTCGCAATGATAAAACCCTTTTCTATCCACTCCTTTCGCGGAGTTGAGCAAATCCTTTGTCTCCCACTTCATTGGGGGACGCCGACATCTTGGCATCTCAACACACCTTTCTACACACACATAGTTTCTCTCTCCTAACTATTGTACCTCTCCCAAAGTGCACCTCTCTCAGAGTTTTTTTCTTCGTTACTTTATTCATCAATAAAGGCCCACGGCCACTGTTGCCGTTACCCGGAATGGAGTAGGTCACCCGGACCGAACCACTATATGTCTGTGTGTTGACTCAATATTTACATTATTGTCTTTGATTGTTTATTTATTTTTCATTAATTATACCTTATCACACACTCGACTATTGATATTGCATGAGACAGTTTTGTGCATCATCAGTAATGAACTCGTCTGAAACTATTTAGCATCTAACTAATTTAACCAGTTTAAACTATACAATTTATCATGTGAAAATTTATTTTGATAACTGCTCAATTCAACTCAACAAAGCCTTAATCCAAACTGAAATTTGATAATAATGATACCTCATCAATTGATCTATTGAATAAAAGCATTTTGTTTCACTACTACTTCCCCTCAATATGAAATCGTGGCTCCACCCTTCACACACAACATGCACTACATTAGAGTGGTGTCCTTGATGTTGTATTCCAAGTTCTTGAGATGCAAAGGGGAGCTAAGAATTTCTTGTAAGGTAGACTCTTTAGTTATATCTATATAATAAAGTAGCTAGCTTCGTTTGTCTTTAACTTTTCACAACTCACAAGACTTTTAATCCGACGGTTCTCATGCCAAATTTTTCTAAGACTCCTATCTTATTCAAACCATCTCACCATATCTCATATTAACTGATACAAAAACTCCTATCACCCGTCTAACTCTATCTCCTTACCTCCGAGCAACTCTAACTCTCTCCCCTATCTCTTGCTACCTTACCCGACACCTCTA